ACAGTTTTCCCCGCTCGACAGGGTGGGGCTGTGAAAGTTTGCTACAAAGGCTGCCCGACCCGTTCGCCCGACCCGCGTGGCGCGGCAACCAGGCCCCAGAGCCTCCGATGATGCCTAGCACCCCGCCTCGCATCCTCGACAGATGCAGCGGTCCAGGGAGGGCCTTGCCCTCGAGGATCGAAAGGGTTGTCATGCCTTCCTCGAGGGGATGCCAGCGAAGGTAGAGTTGGGGCGGCTCCGCCGGCGGAGGCCGGCTAGACGTCGGCGGAAGCCAGCGGAGGCAAAACATGCGCCTCCAGGAGATGGCAGCATGTTCGGATTCAGGATTTCCAGAGCCGGCCAAGTGACGGCAGAGCCGATCCCGCTTGCCACGGCCGCCGGGCCTTACGAGTACCCGCTAGTCCGTGGCATCCCGCCTCGCATCCTCGACAAGCCACGACAGAGCCGATCACAGACCCAAATGAAGTGCACAAAGAATAGACATGACGAACAGGCTTGAAAAAGCATACATCATGAGCATCATAGCAGGAAATGAAGAGCGCATTGTGGACGCACGTGAGAGGCATGTATGAATAATAGGAGTTGTCGACCCATCCGCCATCGTGCCTGGGTCGTGGACAATGAGACTCTTGAATGCCTCTGGGCTTCTGGGATGCCTCTCGTAGGCCTCTTGGAGGCATTTTGAGGGCCTCGTGCTAGGAAGAGCTCGAAGCATCATTTCGAGGGCCCTCTTGGGGGGCGAGTGGGCCCTCTTGGGGCTCTCTCGGGGACCCTCTTGTCTTGGACGCTCTGAAGACCGACAAGGCGAGTTTGCGAAAGTCATATCCGTCGGCCGCCGATCTTCCCCAAGCGGCGTTTGCACTTGGAGGTTTTTTTCCTGGTTGTCGCCGTCCGCGCCCCGTCGCCTCTTTGCGCTATAGTTCTGCTGTACTTGCATTACTCCGCATTATGTAACATTGATGTGCGTTGTTTTGTTTGTGTTGTGTTCTGCGTTGTTTTACCTTGATGTGCACTGGTTTGTGTTGCTCGGCCGTGCGTTGCTTCGCCTTGCTCTGCATCGCATTGATTAACTCTCCTTTCTAAAAAGAGAATCGGTTCTACCACCCTCCCCTCCCCGGACTTAAAGATCCCCCTTTTCGTATTGCAATTTACATGCGATTCTGCCCCATCGTCCATCCGAAATGTGAATTTGCACTCTTCCCAGGGGGGCCGGTATCGGCCCCCCTTCGGTTCCCTTGCAAATAATATTGTGCGCGCGCGCTCGCTCATCAAAAATCGTAAGTTGTCGAGAATCCCTTGCGAAAAATGAGACGAAGTGCACACGCGCGCGTCGTCGCGCGCTTACGCCGAAATCCTTCAAAAACCTTCGGTTGCGGAAGAATGTCAAAATCGAGCTTCCAAAAAACATACAATAACACAGGGTTTCGCAACACGGGTTTCCTAAAAAAGCTTACGCGCACGCCCTTGCGAAATCTTAAGAAAACCATGGGTTTCAAGATTTTCAGAAAAGACTACCAAACGGGCTTCGCGCGCGCGCATGTCGAAATCGTTCGAACGCCCTTGCGCGCGTGCCGTCGGGAGAATCCTTTGCAAAAAACGGGACGAAGTGCACGCGCGCGCGTCGTCGTGTGCGCATGCCGATATCTTTCAAAAACCTTCGGTTTCGGAAGGATGTCAAAATCGAGTGTCCAAAAAACATACAAAACACATGGTTTTCGCAACACGGATTTTGAACAAAAAACGCGCGCGCGCTTTTGCGTCATCGTCGTCGTCGTCGCCGTCCTCCCTCCTCCCTCGTCGTCGTCGTCGCCGTCGTCGTCCTCTGTTTTTCCTCGTCGTCGTCGTCCTCTTTGGCGTCGTCGTCGTTTCCGTCGTCGTTGTCGCCGTGGTCGTCCTTCCTCCTCCTCCCTCGTCGTCGTCGTCCGTCGTCGGCGTCTCGTCGTCGTCCCTCCTATTTCGTCGTCGTCGTCTTCCCTCCTCCCTCGTCGTTGTCGTCGTCGGCGTCACCGACCTCCCTCCTTCGTCGTTCGGGTCGTCGCCGTCCTCCCTCCTCCCTCGTCGTTGCCGTTGTCGCCGTCGTCGTCCTCCCTCCTCTCTCGTCGTCGTCGTCGGCGTCGTCATCGTCGTCGGCGTCGGCGTCGTCGTCGTCGGCGTCGTCATCGTCGTCGTCGGCGTCGTCGGCGTCGGCGTCGTCGTCGTCGTCGGTGTCGTCGCTGTCGAAGTCGTCGTTGTCGTCGTCGTCGAAGTCGTCGGAGTCGTCGTCGTCCCAGGCGGCGTCGTCGTCGTCGTTGTCGCTGTCGTCGTCGGCGTCGGTGTCGCTGCCAAGTGCCATTTGGTACCTACTGTCACGGTCTTAAGAGGTCTTGCGACCAAGTTGCGGGTGGGAGGGTGTGATGTTTGCACGAGCAGTGGAGAGGACAGCTTCAAGACAGTCACAGTGGACTCCACCAATAGATTCTCCTTTCTAAAAAGAGAATAGACTCTACCCCCCCCCCCCGGACTTATCAGCTCCCCCTGGGATAGTATATTTTCATATATATGCGTTGTGCTTGCACATTAATGATCTCTTGCTGCGTTTAGTGCCGTATGTTGTACTTATGCTCAAGTTGTTTCCAGGAGTGGTTTTCCCTGATGGGGGCGCAGTCCGCCCTCATCGAGACCTTCCAGTCTGCAGGGATCCGTGCTCTCGAGCTGCTGGCGCTGCGCCAGTCCCTGATCTCGGCGGTGCCCCAGTGCCCCGCGGTCTCGCTGGCGTGCCCGCCCGCGAACGTCTCGTGCCCCGTCCAGGTCTGCCCAGCGCTGGCCTGCCCGACCCCAGCGTGCCCCGTGCCGCTGGTGAATCTCTCCTGCCCGCCTGCAGGAGTTGAGCTCGTCCCTGACGGGCTCGACATTCCCTCGGTCTGCTGGGGATACCTGGCAGGAGTCTCTGCGGGGCTCGGGCTGGGCGGCGCAGTCTGGCGGCGGGGCGGCCGCGTCAACGCCGAGGCGACAGGAGTGGGAGATCGAACGCGAGAGCAGCTGCAGCTGATCAGGAGGCGCAATGGCGAGAGTAGGTGACTACGTGCTCTTCCAGTATGACCTGCCTGGAGCGTCGGTGTATCATGAGAGGCTCGTGACAGGGGTCTCGATCGGGGATCCAGGTCTTGTCAGCACGTACTCGCCAGATGGGGGCCACTACGCAGAGTACGCGACGTCCGACGACCTCAGAGATGTGCGGTGGTCGGGAGCGCAGGGCGCCACCCCCCCTGGGGTCAACCCCGCCCACGTCTACCGCTTCCGCCAGGTGCCGACGGCGGCCGAGGTCCAGCAGCTGATCCGCGAGGGCTCGCTCCTTATCGGGGGGGGGGCGCCGCCTGCTGCCGCTGCTCCTGCCGCCGCAGCGGCGCCCGTGGCGGCTCCCCCCGCGGCGGCCGCACCACAGGGGGCCATCGTGCCTCGAGGCGCTGGCGCGGTGGGAGGGGCCCCCCGCGCTGGGGCCGCGGCCGCCCCCGCAGTGGCTGGCACAGTGTGGCTGGCTATTGAGGACTTCCAGGGGATGCGGCGCGGCGAGCAGATGCCTGGTCCCCTCCCTCAGGGCGCCGTCGTACACGGTGAGCTGGCGCTGGTGCCTCATGGAGGGGGCTTCGTCGGAGCGCGCCAGGTGGCCCTAGCCGACGTGGACGCCTTCGTCGTGGACGACCTGCGCGTGCTGCCGGCGCGGTTCAACCAGCAGGGGGCGCGCCGTCGCCCATACAGCGAGGCCGTGGACATGCAGATCGTGGATGAGCCTGAGGGAGGCATCATGCTGCAGGGCCCTCGCACTACGGATTGGGTGCTGAGGTCGTATCGGGATGCCGGGCTCACGCCAGTCACTCACCACTCGAACTGGCTGAGGTCGGCTCGCATCCCTGATGGAGATCGTTCAGTTCACGAACACGAGGTGCTGTGCCATGTGCTGGAGGCAATCGTGACCGTGGACCAGCTCAACGCCCCTGCGCTCCAGAGCGCCGAGCTCGTCGTGCGCAGGATCCAGGTCATCGGGGATGCTCACTCGGCCTCTCCCTCGAACCCAGACTACTCCGCGGCGGATGAGTTCATGGGCTGGGCCACGCATCGCCAGGGCGCCGCCGTCGCGCCCGACCTGCAGCGCCACGTGGCCGCGGGCATGCGCGACAGGGCAGCGATTCTCAAAGAGGCTCGCAAGGCGAAGGAGGAGCAGAAGCTGCGCCGCGGCAAGGGGGGCGGCAAGACCGACGCCAGCGGTACTGGCGGGCAGGGATCATGACGGCTCCCAGTCGCGGGGGCTGGCCGGCCCGCGACGCGCACAAGGCCTGTGGTGCCTCGGCGGCGCGCACCTTCCGACCTCGCACTGCCCCTGGCGCTGAGGGCAGTGGGGCACCGACCGACTGTGGCCGTGGGGGCCCAGCGGCACGCACCTCACGCCCTCCAGCCAGGGCAGGCTTCGGGGATCGCGAGGCACCGCCCGTCCGAGGATCGAGTGACATGGGACGCCCTCCTGGGCTGAGTGCAGCGGACGATCGCCAGCGTGATCTGTTCCCGCTGCCCTCCATTCAGCCGACTCCGCCTACTTCTGCGCCAGCGTCTACGTCGACGAGGCGAAGGCTGGCCCATAGGCGGCAGACGGAGCAGTGTGCCAATGATGCCATTGCGGGTCTCAACGCTCTCCATCCTCCGTGCGAGCAGCGTGGGCCCATCACGGCGGCTCAGCGGCTTGCTACCGCCACCATTTTGAACGAGGTCAGGATGGCCCCGAAGTCTGACACTCACTTTTCTCGCCGTGGAGCCGCGAAGGAGCTCCTGGCCTCCAGCCTGTCCTACACCGCGGACGAGGCACCGAGTCCCGTGGTAAGGTACGTCAGATCCCGAGTCGACATCCCAGAAGTGGGTGCGGTTATACCTCCTGTTGAGTCGGTGCTCGACGGGATCGCGAGCATGCAATGATGAAGACTCCTGACGAGTGGCCCCGCGTCTTGGATAGCGAGCCGCCCGTCACCCCCTACATGGACGAAGTTTTGAAGCGTGACCCGGTGGTATACCACACTTTCATCGGCGACCTGGTGAAGGCTAACATGCTGGGTTTCACGTACCGCCCGAAGGATTTAGTCACCCCCTTTTTCGTGGCCAAGAAGAGTGGAGCGCAGCGTCTAGTGTGGGACGCTCGAGTGCCAAATCGACGTTTTCGCGACCCGCCGCCGCTGGCCATGGGGACATCGGCTGCGCACGGTCGCCTACAGCTACCTGATGATCGTAAGGAGGACGGCAGCTTCAGCACCAAGCTTTTCTGCGCCCAGGCTGATGTGCGCAACTACTTCTACGCTCTCGGCCTGAGGGAGGAGCTGGGACTGTTCTTCTCGCTGCCTCCGGTGTCGCAGGCTTCGTTGTCGCAATGGGGGGTCGAGGCAGTGGACACTCCCGAGGGCCCCTCGGGGGGCTGGGTGTGGCCGTTCCTGCGGGTCGTTCCGATGGGCTGGTCTTGGGCTTTCTGGCTTGGGCAGCGTGCGAATGCGCACGTCTGCTGCTCTGCCTCGGGGCTCGGGTTCCCGCGGGTGCTGACCGATCACGGTCCGGTGCCCCCGCTCGACAGGGGGGTCCCTTGCCTCCTCCCCTATTGCGATAACATCAACGTCATCGGCACCGACCCTGTCAGATGCAATGTTTTGATGCACCAGATCTGCGACGCCTGGAGGAAGCATGGCGTGCAGATTCACGAGGTGGTCGAGGCCACTGACGTCTTCACCAGCCTCGGCCGTCTGGTCGACGGCGCGTCTGGGCGAGTTTTCTCACGGCCCGAGCGCTCCGAGCGCCTCCGCCAAGCTTCACTGTGGCTAGAGCAGCGCCCTAGAGTCACGGGGAGGGAGGTGGAGAGGTACGTGGGTCATCTCATTGATCATCTGATGCTGAAGAGGGAGCTGCTCTCGATCCTCAGGAGTTTGTATGATTTCGTCAGAGAGTGCTATCACGTGCGAGCCCGTCTCTGGCCCTCGGCTGCCCGCGAAGTCGAGCAGTGCCGTCGCCTGCTGCCGCTGATGTCTGCCAACCTTCGGCTTCAGTGGTCGCCGACGGTCTTCGCTTACGACGCGTGCTTGACGGGTATGGCCACGTGTCAGGCAACACTGTCATCAGATCTTGTCAAACGTATCGGGTCAGTCAGTGAGAGATGGAGATACCGCATGCCTTCGGCTATCTCGGCACGCCGTTCTGCTCTGGGAGTCCGTTCTGGAGGCTATGAGGCCTCGGAGGGGCCGTTCGACGTCTTCAGCGACATCGAGACCGTCAAGGCCCCCGAGAGCACCAGCATGGACCTCATCAAGGACCCCTGGGAGCTCAACCCGCAGTCCACAGAGGTGCCCGCACAGGCTCTGCAGGGCCCCCAGTGGAAGCAGGTGGTCTCGGCCAGGGTTCACGTCAAGGAGCCCATCACTATTATCGAGGGGAGGGCTTCGAACATGACATCTCGTCATATCACGAGGGCCCAGGCCTCCTTTGGTCTCCGTCATCTACGTTTTGGGGACAACCTCGGCACCGTGCTCGCGCTCGGACGTGGGCGATGCTCCTCCTATCCCCTTCTGCTGTGCTGCCGCAGAGAGGCTGCCTACTCCGTCGCCACTGCGTCGCGGTTCGAGCATCGGTGGATACCTTCGGAGCTCAACCCCTCCGATGAGGGGTCGAGGCGCTGGGATGCCAAGTCGGGAGGTGTCCCGCCTGCCCCGCGCGGTGTCCGTCAAGCGCCCAGCTGCCAGCCCCAAGATCGTGCAGAAGAGTTTTTTGAAGGGCAGGCCGTTTGTTGGGGCGACGAAGGAGGAGAGGATTGCTCACCGTCTGCGGGCCTCTGGGCCGTTCACGATGGTGGGGGAGGACGAGAGGAGTTTCCTGGAGTGGAACGCGGTGGCGCCCGAGACCCAGGCATACTACAAGGACGCCCTCGACGACTTCCAGACGTTCGTGGACCTCTTCGAGCTGCCGCTGCACACCGCGGCTCAGGTCGACCTGGCTCTGATGAACTACGCCGACTACGCCTGGAGCATCGGGCTCGAGAGAGCCGCCGTCCTGAAAACATATGCCGCGTACATCTCGGCGCACCCCGACTTTCCCCGAAAGGGGTCGCTCCGCCTGCCGCGTTTCTGTCGGGCCCTCCAGGGCTGGAGGCGCCTGGACCCAGGCCAGACGCGCCCGCCCATGCCCTGGCAAGTGGTCGCGCTGGTCGCGCTGGCGATGGCCACGCAGCTGGGGTCCCCGCGCGCGGCGCTCATGGTGGTGACGATGTTCTGGGTGTACCTCAGGCCCTCCGAGGCCGTCGGCCTGCGCGAGCAGGACCTCTTCCTCCCCTCGGGCTCGTGCATGGACTACGGCTTCAACCTGCACCCCAGCGCGAGGGGCGAGTACAGCAAGACCAGCTTGTCGGACGAGAGCTTGCTCCTCGATTCGGTCGAGGTGCCCTGGCTGGGCCCGCTGCTGGCGCGCGCGAGGTCGGGGGACCCGCAGGCGCCGCTGTTCCGTCTCACCGCCGCGCAGCTGGGCGTCATGTGGCGTCAGGCGCTGGAGCTGGCCGAGGTGCCCACCAGGCACGTGCCCTACCAGCTCCGCCACGGTGGCCCGTCGCACGACCGCCTCAAGAGGCATCGATCCATGGACGAGATCAAGAGGCGCGGGCGGTGGGCCAGCGACTACACGATGAAACGCCACGAGGCCCACGCGCTGGTGCAGCAGGAGCTGGCGGCACTCCCAGTCGACGTCCGCCGCAGGGCCGAGGCGGCGCCCGCGAAGCTGCACGCCGAGCTCGAGAGGCTCCTGGCGCGGCCCCAGAGGCCGCGGACGGCCACGCCGTCGGCGCGGCTGCAGGCGGCGCCTGCGCCCAGCATGCGCCGCCCCGCACCTTCTGCCAAGGTGCCGCAGCCCGCGCCCGTGCCAGGCCGTTCGTCGAGCTCATGTGCGGCTCCGCCGCCTTGGCCAAGGCCGTCCACGCCGCCGGCTGGGCTTCGGAAGGCTGGGACTACGCTGACGACCCGCGAGCCGACCTTCTTGATGAGTCCCTCGTCGACAGTCTGGTTTTGAGGATCTCACGGAAGGAAGTCGCGGGGGTGCATGTCGGCCTGGACTGCAAAACGTGGAGCCGGGCAAGGAAGAATGATGGACAGGGTCCGCCGCCGCTCAGGGACGATGCGAATTTGCACGGCCTCCCTCTGCTGGCGGCGGCGGACGCGGAGAAGGTGAGGATCGCCAATCGTCTGCTCGCTAATGTTCTGCGCCTGCTGGCTGCAGCCGTCGAGGCGGGAGTCCCCTTCTCTCTCGAGAACCCTCGCTCGTCTCGCCTCTGGCTGGTCCCAAAGCTGCTGGACATGGCCCGCGACGCTCACGCCGAGTGGGCTTCTGTTGATTATTGCCAGTATCAGGTCCCCTGGAAAAAGGCGACTACCTTTTTGCTTTTCAATTGGCTGCCAGCGCAGCCTTCCCTCCGCCTGTGTTCAGGCTGTCAAAAAAGGTGTAGTGCAACAGGTAAGGCACACATAACACTGAAGGGTAAAGACCCGCTCGGTGTGTTCTGGACTTCGAGGGCGCGCCCTTACCCCGCGGCGCTCTGCAAAGATCTTGCAGCGCTGGTGGTGGCCAAGGCCAAGACACTGGATGGCAGTGGGTAGGGGCTCAGAGTCTTGAATGCCGCTCGCTCAGTCCGTTCAGGTCAGCGCCATCGTGCTGCCCTGTCACCGCCTGCCGCTCGTTCTCTTGATTTGCTTCGAAGCAGCGGAGCATGCCGAAGGAAAAGTTGATCTTGGCACGGGTAGCAGCCTAAGCTCATGCGTTGTGCTTGCACATTAATGATCTCTTGCTGCGTTTAGTGCCGTATGTTGTACTTATGCTCAAGTTTTTTCCAGGACCCGCCTGCCGTCCCCATCTTCCACCTTCCTGGGCGTCACTTCGCCCCACAGGGGGCTCAGAGTCTTGAATGCCGCTCGCTCAGTCCGTTCAGGTCAGCGCCATCGTGCTGCCCTGTCACCGCCTGCCGCTCGTTCTCTTGATTTGCTTCGAAGCAGCGGAGCATGCCGAAGGAAAAGTTGATCTTGGCACGGGTAGCAGCCTAAGCTCATATATATATATATATATATATATATATATATATATACATATATTCTGCACACTCGTCCATCCTAAATATGAAATCATACCATCCAAGGCAGGCCGGTTTCCCCCCCCCCTGAGGGTATCTTGTAAAAAAACACTATGCGGTGGCATGTTTTGTTCTAACATAACATTTTTTCACCAATCCCTTGCAAAAAATGAGACGAAGTGCACACGCGCGCGTCGTCGCGCGCGCATGCCGAAATCCTTCAAAAACCTTTGGCGCCGGAAGGATTTCGCAATCGAGTTTCAAAAAAAACATACAAAAACACATGGTTTCGCAACACTGGCTTGCTAAAAAAGCTTCCGCGCGAGCTCTTGCGAAATCTTAAGAAAACCACAGGTTTTTCAAGATTTTCACAAAATGCTACCAAACGGGCTTCGCGCGCGCGCATGTCGAAATCTGTCGAACGCCCTTGCGCGTGTGCCGTCGCGAGAATCCTCTGCAAAAAATGGGACGAAGTGCAGACGCGCGCGTGGTCGCGCGCGTACGCCGAAATCCTTCAAAACCCATCGGTTTCGGAAGGATTTCGAAATCGCGCGTCCAAAAAACCTACAAAAACCCAAGGTTTCGCAACACGGATTTTCAACAAAAGCGTGCGCGCGCGCTCTTGCGTCGTCGTCGTCGTCGTCGCGTCCTCCCTCCTCCCGCGTCGTCGTCGTCGTCGTCGCTACGTCGTCCTCTGTCTTTCCTCGTGTTCGTCGTCGTCGTCCTCTTTGGCGTCGTGGTCGTTTCCGTCGTCGTTGTCGCCGTGGTCGTCCTTCCTCCTCCTCCCTCGTCGTCGTCGTCGTCCGTCGTCGGCGTCTCGTCGTCGTCCCTCCTATTTCGTCGCCGTCGTCGTCGTCGTCGTTGTCGTCGTCGTCTTCCCTCCTCCCTCGTCGTTGCCGTCGTCGGCGTCGCCGTCCTTCCTCCTTTTTCGTCGTTCGCGTCGTCGCCGTCCTCCCTCCTTCCTCGTCGTTGTCGTCGTTGTCGCCGTTGTCGCCGTCGTCGTCCTCCCTCCTCCCTCGTCGTCGTCTTCGTTTGCGACGTCGTCGTCGTCTTCGTCGTCGTCGTCGGCGTCGGCGTCGTCGTCGTCTTCGTCGTCGTTGTCGGCGTCGTCGTCGTCGCCGCCGTCGTCGTCGTCGTCGTCGTCGTCGTCGTCGGCGTCGTTGACGTCGTCGTCGTCGTCGTCGGCGTCGTCGTTGTCGTCGTCGTCGGCGTCGTCATCGTCGTCGTCGTTGTCATCGTCGTCGTCGTTGTCGTCGGCGTCGGCGTCGTCGTCGTCGGTGTCGTCGTCGTCGTCGTCGTCGTCGTCGTTGTCGGCGTCGTCGAAGTCGTTGGAGACGTCGCCGGTGTCGTCGTATGTAGTCGTTGTCGGCGGCGTCGTCGTCGTCGTTGTCGCTGTCGTCGTCGGCGTCGCTGTCGTTGGCAAGTGCCATTTGGTACCCACCGTCACGGTCTTAAGAGATTTTGCGAACCAAGTTGCGGGAGGGTGGGTGGGATGTTTGCGCGAGCAGTGGAGTGGTCAAGCGCGGTGCAGCGTAGTCAATTGCACCTCGTAGATTGCTCCACATAGCTTAACCCACGTAGCTTGCACTACACAGCTTCCACCACATAGATTACATCACCTAGCAAGCTAGAAACAATTGTTTGGGGCCCACGCTGACTGAAATCGGCGATTGCATTTCCCCACCCCTCCCGTCCCTACTCCATGGAGCTGACATACACTCCCTCCCTTCTCCCGACCTCCCATCACTCCTCCATCCCTCTCTCGCTACTCCGCCCCTCCCCTCCCCCATCCTCCCTCCCCCTTTCGACCGTCCCTGGGGGTGTCTGGGCCAGCCTCCCCCCCTCGGCCCCATGCGGTCCCGTGCCCTCGCAGAGCTTTGGCTCGAGGGGCTCAACACAGCAACGGCGCTGGGCTCGCATACGATGACAGAGCAGTTCTCCCAGCAGGTTGCGAGCCGAGCTTGCCGTGCTGCGCTCGTCATTCCAGGGCGCGCGCCAGCACAGGGACGCACCACCTCGCCGCGCCCATCCTGCTACGTCTCCGCCACGGCCGCGCAGGCGCCATGTGCACGCTATGCGGCGGTGCCGCGCATGTCGGGCCAGGTAGTGAGGACCCAGATCGCGAAGCACCTGCCGATGATGCACCCTGCGCCCCCGAAGCGCTGCCGCCAGAGCGCGAGCATGGACCCGCTGCACGAGGCCGCGGCGGCGGCGGCGCGCGCCCTGTGCCGGGCCGCCCTGCCGGACTGGGGCCGGCCGACGCGGCTTGCGCCGCTCTGTGCCGGCGTGCGGCAGGCAGGCCGCGCGCAGGTTCCAGGCGGCCCGCCGCGTGCCAGCGCCGCCGGGGCCCCAGCGAGCAGCCGCGTGCCGAGGGCGGCCGCAGCCTTGCAGCGGGCGTGGGCGCCAGCGCGGCCGCTCGACGCCGGCGCCGCCCTGCCCCCGCGGCCCCGCTGCGTGCTCGCGGGCCGCGTCGTGCGGCTCGGGCAGCCCGCGGCCGCCCAGCCGTCGCACCACAGCCGGGCCGCCAGGGCGCCCTGCCGGGGCGCGGCGGGGCGGATCGCCCCCGCGTTGGCGGCCGGCGACTCGCGCGACCGCCCGCACGAGCGCGGCCCAGGCAACTTCACCGTCGTGGCGTCGTGGGCGCTCGCTCGCCTCTGTCCGCGCGGTGCCTCGCTGGCTGCGCTGCGAGGGGTGGACCGCGAGCTGTGCTCCGCCGTGGACGCGGCTGCCCGTGACGATGCGCCACCAACGTGGCCGCTGACGGTGAGCATCATCCAGGACGGGCTGGTGGCACGCACCTTCGAGTTCCCGCCGGAGCTCGCTCTAACCTTGAGCAGGCCGGGCCTCGCCACGTGCGCCTTCTGGTCCCACGACGGCCGTCGCTGGCGCCGGGCGCAGGTGGCGCTTCCCGCGACCCTCGAGGCGCAGCTGAGAGAGACATTGTTGGGACTCTACCGCAGGCACTCGCGCTCCGTGCGGCTCGTGTGCGCGTGCATGAAAGAGCAGGTGTCGGCCTTTGCTCCGATATTTGCCGCCGCGGCGGAGGCACACGAGCTCGCCTTCTTGTACCCGCAAACAGGGGGGGCTATGCACCGCCTCCTCGTCGAAGACTCGAGAAAGGGGACGGTGATGGACCACCTCTTCCTGGACCAGTGCGGAATGTGCGAGCAGTGGGGAAAGCACGGCGAACACCAGAGGATGCTGGAAGAGCTCCGGGAATTCGTGCAGTCCAGGCCTCTTCAGCGTGCTGAATGGCCGCCCATGCTGGTGATGGACTAAAAGATAACGCTGCGGGGCGCGTAGAGCTCATGATGGCTCGAAATTGTCATCCCTGCTCTCCCACGTCCATCCCCTGCCCTTCGGTCCAGGCCCCCATGTGTAGCCTCAGAAGCAGCTTGCGCATAGCAGTGTTTAGCCCTGCAGTAGGCTGCTGGTCACAGCGTATGATCGCATGACCACGGTCAGCAAGTAGCGCAGGATGATGTAGATGTGTATGTGTGCTCCAGCCGCTGTCTGTGAGACAGTGCGACCTCTAGGGTCGACAGCCAGTCAGGTGGGAACTCTGAGATTGATGCAGCAGCTCTGTGTACCACCTCGCTTTGGCAAGCACCCTGTTTGTATCCGCGCCCTCTCTGGAATCTTCTCGTGTGCCATGCTGCCCTCGCAGAGTGTAAACATGCTCGCCAGCTTGCTCCCACAATTCTGGCTAGAGCGCCCAGTAGGATCCCAGGATGGAAAGACGCCATCTGAAGGTAGCATGCAAAGCCCAGCTCTGGATAAGAAAAGTGGCCCGCGGTCGTGCAACGCATCCAAGGGATGGGAGCGCGCTCACGCGGGCGCGGCGCCTGAACCGGCCGACCACGCCAGCCTCACGGGCACCTTCGGAGCATCATTCGACGCGGTTTCCGAAGGGATGCAGCTCCTGGGAGGTCAAGTTCGGTATCGGCGCTGGTACGTCCGCGGTCGAAAGCGGCATAATCCTTTATTCCGTTTGATCACGCCTGATCTTTCGTTGTTGCGAAGACCTCCGAGGAGCTTCCTCCCAGCGCTCGACGCGGCTACCGGAGGGAGCGAGTGTTTACCTCGATTCCGCCGCGTGAGTGCGCCTTCCTCCCCTTCCCGTCTCTGCGGCGTCTCTCTACTTCCCCTCCTCTTCTTGCACGCGGGGCAGTTCGCAAGGCCGTGGCCCAGATTGCTCGGGCGCGCGAGCGGATCGCCTCTGCCGCGCCGCGACGGGAACAGTGCCTACCGCAACGCTGAGGGCAGGCCCACGCGGCCGTCACGGCGCGGGGGAGCAGCGAGCGGGCCGCGCCCCGAAGGCGGAGGATGTTGAGTGCGCAGGCAGGCAAACCGCTCGAGGCCTCCCCAAAAAGATGGGCGCGAGTGGGCCCGTGAGACACCCCCCCCTTGGCGCTCCCCCTCTGGGAGTGCTGAAGCCAGCGCCTCGTTTGAGACGTCCCTATACAAACTAGATGCATGCTTTAGTATGAGTGTGAGTGAGTCCGAGAGTGAGTGGGTCTGTGTGCGAGTGAG